CAATATGAAAAAAAAAATATATTTAATGATATTTTTATACGCCCACATGGAAATGTGGACGTATATTGCCGTTGCCCCTGTCTGTTGGTCCGTTGGTCCGTCAACATTTTTTGTGAACACGATAGAGACTACAGTTTTCCGCCCGTCCATCCATCCGTCCGAACCCTATTGAAAAACGAAAAATATTTACTATTACTTATTGCCCTTGTTCTTGAATTGTTTGTGGACATCATAGAGAGCTGGTTTCTTGATGGATTTTGATGAAACTTTTTTAGTGTTTGTAATCACCCAAGGAAGAACCCTATTGAAAGTCAGACGAATCGAAAAATATTTGCTATGAGTTATTGCCCTTGTTCTTGAGTTGTTTGTGGACACGAAAGAGAGCTGTTTTCTTAATGGATTTTAACGAAACTTGGTATGAGTGTTTGTAATCACCCAAGGAAGAACCCTATTGAAAGTCAGACGAATCGAAAAATATTTGCTATGAGTTATTGCCCTTGTTCTTGAGTTGTTTGTGGACACGAAAGAGAGCTGTTTTCTTAATGGATTTTAACGAAACTTGGTGTGAGTGTTTGTAATCACCCAAGGATGAACCCTATTGAAAACCAGAAGAATTGAAAAATATAGCTTTTGACAAAACTTGGTTTTATTATTCAGTCCCGCACTGAAGATTGAATATTTGCCTTCTAGAGTTTTCACGAGCTACAAATTGAACATTTTTTCAAGAACAAGGGCAATAACTCATACTCAATATTATTCAGTATCACCCTAAAGAGTTCAAAAGAAGTGTATGACTGAAGGTTGAATATTTCATACTAATGATTGTTACTGTACTGCTAAATATCTTTATTCAAAATCAAAGCTGCCAGTGGGCGTATATTACCTTGCCTGGCAAGCTATCTTTAAATATTTCTGTCATAATATACCATTTATTCCTCAAACCATCTTGGTGTCTAAAAACACACTTCCTTATGGAGTCCAGAACCAACACAATTAAAAAAGTAAATGACTGTTACAATAATGAAGTTATAAATATTATGATGTCTTGGTTACTCAAACAACTATCTGCAAAGTGAAGTCATCAGTGAAATACATTATGAAGATCTTCAATATGAGAAATTTCATATTATTATGAAGATCTTTAATATGTTTTAGGTCAAGTTGTCATATATGACAGCTGACAGCTGCCAGTGGGCGTATGTTACCTTGCCTGGCAAGCTATCTTTACCAATTTTACTCATTTGAAATTTTCCTTTCCCACAGGTGACATTCTGGAATGAGACATGTCGACATAAAGAATATTTTCTGACAAGAAGACATTTTTATACGCCCACATGAAATGTAGCTCTTAAACACTAAAAGGCATGATTCTTTTGACAAAACTTGGTTTTAGTATTCAGTACCGCGCTGAAGGTTGAATATTAGCCTTCTAGAGTTTTCACGAGTTAAAATTGTTAACATAAAATAGTGACTAGCTCCGTGTTGTTACCGGAAGTTGTCAAGGAACAAAAGGAAAACTTCCGCTCTAGCCCGGTAGTCGATGAACATGTAGTAGTCGTGTAAGCATGGTCTGACGGCCATCTTGTTATCATCTTTTCATTCATCTGTATGTTTATGTTTGTGATGTCCCCCCGGGTTTTTATGTATTGTCTATCATCGTATGTGTCTTCATCATAATAAATATCATCAACCATACATGACTTTTCAAAAATTGAACACGTTTTCAAGAACAAGGGCAATAACTCATACTCAGTATTATTCAGTATCGCCCTAAAGAGTATAAAAGAAGTGTATGACTGAAGGTTGAATATTTCATATTGGTGATTGTTACTGTACTGCCAAATAGTTTTATTCAAAATCAAAGCTGCCAGTTGGCGTATATTACCTTGCCTGGCAAGCTATCTTTAGCCCTATATGATCTATTTACCAACCTTTATCAGAACTAAATTATGATTTATATTTTTGTTTTTTTCAGATAGGAGTTGACCATAAGATGTTGACACAATTACGCTTTTGTTTCCCTGTTATATTGTCATATTTGGGTTTGTTATATACTGACACTGTCAGAGGAGGCAAGTTTCAATTTTTATATGCCCAACCTGCCTGGCAGGTAGGTCCAGAGTTGAACATTCTGACCTCAATGCTATTGTCTCAAATGTGCATGTTAAACAGAGACTACCAAACAAATAAAGATTACTATGGCCATTGTAATATATTTTATTTGTGTGAAAAAAATCTGTTTTATTTATAGACATTGGTGTGAATTGTGGATCTGGTGCTGTTGTTGGACAACCATACAATTTACAATGTACTAATATACCAGCTGTAACCAATGGTGTCAATGTATTTCTGGGTGATACAAGCAATAGTATTATATTGTGTCTTGCATCTAAAAATTGTAGGCCAAGGGAACCTACATTATACAGTGTTCAATCACCACACAATGAATCATTCTATTTTACTATACTGAAAGTAACATCAGATGATATTGGTAAGAAACTGTATTGTGTAGATGATACAACTCTAGATCTTTCTACACCAAAACCAAACTGTTCAGTTGGTAAGTATTTTTTACCAAATACTTTATTAAAATTCATTTATGTTAAAAATCTGGATGTTCACTTCTGTCCAAGATGGGAAGAATCGACTGTTACTGTGTGTTTTTTTTTGTTATGCAATAAATACCCACTTGAATTAAAGAAAAGACAAGTAAAGCCACAACTGTTTGTCAACTTTTCTTGTAAATAAGAGATAATTTTTCTCCAATTGTTATGAAAATTGATGAAAACAACTTCAATTTTAACTACGTATAAATGAATGGATTTGAGTTGCTGCCCTTGACATGCATCAAAATAGATTTTTAAGCACAATAAAGGCTTGAATTTTGACAATGTCAAATCAGCTTGTCAAGATATAAAATCTGGAGTTGGTCCAATTTGACAGATTTGCCATTTTTGTGTGTTAATTTGGGTCTTGAATATGTTAATAGTCTTCAGAAGAACTAGAACTCACATACCTCCTTCAAAAATACCTCAAACTGGAAACTTCACTTTATATTTCTTTATATATCTTTTCTACATATGACACAGTCTATAACTGATTAGCTTAGCTAAAACAATTCTCATTTCTAATAACGTAGGAACATCACCCCTGTTGGTTCATCAATGATTGTGAATATCGTGGGTGACCACTTGAAACCTTGTATATGCCATATTTGGTCATTTTGACATTTTGGTACCGTTCAAAGCTCGTAAAACCGTGGATCTTATGATCAAAACCTCGTATTCATAGCTTGATTGTAAAAAAACTCAAAAACCACTAATTAAATAACGTGTAAAAACAGTCAGATTTAAAACCTCGTAAAATATATTATGATGAAAATGAAAAACCTCATATACTGTATTATTATACGAGTTTTTAGTTCAATAGGTCGGAGTACTCAAAGTGTTATACGAGGTTTAAATTTTCAAGGAATGATAACCAAGGAATGATAGCGGTAAAAGAAATGGTAAAAAAGATTTTAACAAAATATGAGTTCAAATAGTTGTTTGCGTTTTTCTCGAAAAGTAATTTGGCATCATATATCGTTAAACGAGGTTTCACCCACGATATGGTCCCTGAGGAAGGAGGTCTTGAAACATGTTAGACTTTAGGACTACTTTTGTTTTTCAACTACTTTGTAATGTTTGTATTTGTATTGCTGTTACCCCTGTCTGTCTAGTTGTCTGTCCAATGGAGGCCAGTTTTTTATACCCAAAATATATTATTTGGATCAACTAAAGAGCAGACCAATAAAAAGCTTTGTGAAATGGTTTGTTGGCCTTCTATTTTATTGAACACATAAATGGAGGACGAACAGTACTGTCACTCCTGTTCGTCAAGCTGTATGAAGGAAATGGTGAACACAATAGAATGAAGATCTCTGAATCTTCGATTTTGGGTATGGTTCGATAAATACTGACAGAGTTACAGCCCTAAATATATTAAAAATATGTTAACAGTAGTTTGTGAACATGATAGAGGTTACAGTTGTTGGTCTGACAGTGGAACACATTCTGATTAAGTGCAAGCATATCAAGCCCAGTAGATCACAGAACTCTTTGCACAACCTTCTCTGTAGGAAAAAATTGGAACCTAACCAACTTTTTCATCCATTTGTTATTTGCTATATTTTCTATATCTTCTATTAAAGTAAAAAATTAATCATGAAGAATTTGCCAATCACTTAAAGATGGTTTCCCTTATTTTCATTTATATATATATATATATATATATATATATATATATATATTCCATTATTGGACGGCCAATACTTATATCCATCGAAAGTAGAGGTATTCTAATAAATGGGAAAAATACCAGTTTGTCTCAAAAGCCCCTAATTAGCCCATAATTAGCTAATTACGACGAGGATCTCCATAGCGTGACCGTGATAAAAACATTATCCGGCCTTTTTTCGATTAACTAGTGTATACAGTCAGGGAAATCCGTTATTGGTTAAAAATCGTTTAAATATGCATGTGTGCACTCCCCGCATTCCTTTCTTTTCTCACAATAACAATATGGCGGCTTGAAGAATGCACAGTTTACAATTTATAAGGCTTCAGATTCAGAATATAAAGGGAACAAAGAAGAAATGGGATCAAGAAAATCCAAGAATATGTTTAGATAAGGATGTCTATCTAATTTCATGGAGGAGAATCAGTTAAAATCTCATGGTGAAGCAGCCACTCGCTTGCTCAACAGTCAATAATGACGTCATTTGGTCATGTGAACAAACATGGAGTTAAAATTTATCTTCTCAAGCCTTTCTACGTCCACATACGGTATTTTAACTTATGAATATTTTTGTAATTCATTAGAAACACTGATTAATCAATTAGTAAGCATGATTTGACCAAGAAAAATGAGCAAAGGCTTCTTTAACATTTTGATTGACAACAAAGATGTATAAAACAACTATTTTTAGAACTTAAAGGGATTGTAAAAAGGTATCAGAGACACATTTGACTTTTATTTGGGGAATTCCAATACTTTGTCTGATGCCTGTGGTTCCTGCAATTCCAGAAAGAGTTAACCCGAAATAAGGATTTGCATAAATATCATACCACTCTTCCATTCTGTTAAAACAAAGCAATATAAGACGTAGTAAAGAGTTTTATAAGGCAACATTGAAGCAAAGTGTGAACGAATCAGCAATTTTTAGTTACAAAATCCAGCCATCTTGTAAGGGGAGATAACATATATTGTTCTCATGCAAGAGCTGCGTCATTTCCAGTTAACTCTTTCTGGAATTGCAGGAACCACAGGCATAGAACAAAGAATTGGAATGTCCCAAATAGAAGTTAAATAGTCCCTGAGTAGGACTAGACCTTTCAATATGTTCGCAAGGGGATTCCCCATTCCATGTGCGAACATATTGAAAGGTCCCAAAAAAGACCTAAATACCCTACATTCCATAAATTCTTACACCAAAAACACCTAACCACCCTACATTTCATAAATACCTACACCCAAAAACACCTTCAATCAATTCCTACTCCATACTCAGCCTACATTCCATCAATTCCGGCCCAAAAAAAGAACCTCTTCATCCTACATTTCATTATTAAAATTAACGAAAAAAGCATATTAAAAATACCCTTATACAAAATAACATCCTTCTACAAAATAACATCCTTATTTCGCTTAACATCTGGTTTTTAATGGCCTCTTTCTTATAGCCTCGTTTGAAATAATGTTATTTTTAGTTTTAATGTAGAAACTTCTAGAAGGAAGATAACTCTTGTTTTGGAAAAAAAAAACAAACCACAATTTCTTCGTTAAATTAACTCAATTAAAAATAGGATGAGTTTAATTCTAAAACACGAACAACACAAATTTAAAGATTATTCGGGAGACGGTATCTTTTCATCAATATTTTCTCTAGGTAAAACAATAATTCCAAAAGTAGCTAACTTTGTTTCAAACAACAAATCCCTCATTTCCTAAAGCTAAAGCTGTCGGTTCTATCGCGGAAGCGGGAAAGAGTATAAGCGACGCAGTGAAAAAGTCTGACGAGTTAAAAGAATTACAACTAATAAGAGAACTGCAAAACAGGAGATTAGAAGAAAGGGAAGGAAAAGGTTTTAAAGTTATAGGATAAAAATGATAGTCGCTCACGCTCCAAAACTTATTTTGGTTCAGGAGATATACAAAAATCATTGGGTTCTCTTCCTGGATTTCCATGGGCAAAAGATCCCGGAGAAAAACGTCTTCCCGGTCATAATTAGTGGTCCAGGTACCAGATTAGATCTGCGATTAGACGAAAACGATAAACCCATACCGGGTGAAGAACCAGTCAATAGAGTTGATGCAGCTGCGCTTAAACACGACATACTATACAGAAACAAAGACATAAACTTCAGACACGAAGCTGACAGACAAATGATAATCGAACTTTACAATATTCCAAATCCAACTTTCAAAGAGAGAATGCATAATACTGTTAAAAGCAAAGATGAAATTGGGCATCTGATTGGCAGATGAAATTCATAAAGAATTTAAAAAACTAAAAACTTTTTAAAAGATAAAGTATTTGAAAAAGATGAAATATGGTCAGCCGATTTAATTCATATGCCAGTCGAAAGAGGATTTAAATATTGTTTAACAGTTTTAGATTTGTATACGAGATATGCTTGGGTTATTCCTTTGAAAAACAAAAACAGGATTATCAGTCAAACACGCATTTGAAACGATTATGAAACAATCTAACCGTCATCCAGAAAAACTGTGGGTAGATAAAGGAAGTGAATTCTATAACAAAAATAAGAAATCTCTGGGATTTGAAATTTACAGTACGCATAATGAAGGTAAAGCTGTAGTTATTGAGAGATATAATAGAACTCTAAAAAATAAATTATTCAAAAAACCACGGAATTTAAATCTCACAAATGGCTTAAATTATTACCAGAGGTTGTAGATGAATACAATAACAAAATTCATTCATCTATAGGTGTCACACCAACACAAGCCACAAATAATCCAAATATTATAAAGTCAATTAACGCACAACATAACTAGGAAAATGAAATAAATAATTTAAATATCAAACCCAAATTTAAAGTTGGAGATCGCATTCGTATTTTCAAATATAAAAGTAAATTCGAAAAAATTTGATACTGGACAAACGAAATATTCATCGTTGATAAAGTAAACACCACATCACCTCCAACATATGAATTAATCGATCAAGACAAAGAACAAATCATAGGTAGGTTTTATCAAAACTAACTTCAAAAAACCGACTTTTAAAAATGAATATTTATGAGATGGGCGAATGAGTTAAATATATCACCGTTTTATTATTGTATGAGAGATGAAATAAATAATCTCAAATATAAGAAAGGTTAATTTTACGCTATAACAAATATACACACTTCCAATCAAAAAGGAGTTCATCATTCTGCTTTGTACAAAGACTCTTTATATAACTTATATTTTTTTTACTCTTTTGGATTAGAACCCACTGAAGAGATAGTGCAGTTGACTAATAAACCAATCAAATGTTCAACATTTCAAATTCAATTACCGGGACAAAAGTTTTGTGGACAGCTTTCACCTTGGGTTTTATATCAGTTGAGTTTAGGAAAACAACAGTTTGAAGAAATTATAATAAATTTAACTCAATAAAAATTGCGAACAAGTTTGGATTAGGTTCTTTATTTTTAGAAACTAAAAAACCTAACACTACAGCGTGGATAAATAAAGCAAAACCTTACTTTGTGGATCAAATTGGAGACACTCTTCAAGGTGATTTAGATATGAACAATTTCAAAGTAACTAATTTAAAGTCTCCGGAAAATGATAATAAGTTGAATCAATATTCTTCAGACAAAACCCATTTTCATCTAATCAATTTAACCCTTGTAAAGTTCTTCAGTTTATCAATGGCACAGAAAATGTAGAAACTAAAGAATTTGAAATTAACGATGAAAACGGCAAGGCTAATCACTTATATGAAATTAAAACGAGTGGAAATTATATAGATAGGTTTAGAATGTTAATCATACCAGATAAAGAAAATAAAGATCAACTTGAATTGGGTGATTTTGATATGATATTGGAAACGGAAAGTCCACCATCAGTAAGTATTATTAGAAATCCAGAAGAAGAAAATAAAAATAGAAAGAGTTATGAGTTTTTACGAGCAACAGACATTGAATATGTAAAACTATATTTTGTTAATAATGATATAATTACCTCAGTTTATATTCATAAAAGTCAACAAAAACAAATTTTGTTGATACTAGCAATAAGAGATCATGTGGTATATGTTAATATATTAATCTCTATTGAAAAACCAAAATTTTCAGTTCATCTGAATAAGATTAATGATTCGAAAGAACAAATGTCGTTCGTATCTGTAGAAGTTTTTTTTTAAAGATTTTATATTCTTTCCATCTTTTGCTTTATCAGAAGTTCAGGTTAATTACCTAAAAAATGGAACTAGAAAGCAGACAAAACTACATGATAGAAAAACAAAATGAACTAAAAGAAAAACTAAAACACTTTAACAAATGCAGAAAAACATGGAGTAGAATTGATTCTGTTTTCAAAACATTGAGCACAGTTCTAACAGTAGGGATAATGGTGGCAACAGCTGTAACCGGTGGATTAACGCTTCCAATAATTGTATTAGCCGCGTTCACTGCCGTTCAAACTTCATCTTGTGGATTGATTACTTTAGGTTTTACATCAAAACAGAAATCTCATTATAAAAAGAAAACAGAAATTTTAAATTCATATCTTAATAAATTATTCATATTTTTCGAAAGATCGAGAGAAGATAAGAACATAACCATTGAAGAATTAGAAGAATTCAATGAAATTTTTGATAAATTTGATATAGAAATATCATCAATAAAAGTGAAAAATTCCTAGTTAAAAATAGATACTTAAAAAATATGAATACAATTGAAATTTTAGACGATAAAACATTCATATCAAATGTGCTTTTTTCCAATGTCATTGAGCTTTTCTCTGATAAATTTATAACATTTAAAGGGCAAATTGAATTAGATGGAAAGATAATTCAAGATGGAGGACACAAACAAAACATGCAATTTGTAGGCTTTAATGCCAAAACTTTTCACAATTTCTTCGCAACACTGGATGTAAAATCGGATGCTTCTGATTGGTATTTCTCAGGAAAAATCATTTTACGTAAAAACAATTTCAAAGAAATAAAATTAACTGTTTTTCAAAATCAAATAGAAAAAGGGTTATGACAACTGCTAGAATCTGTGAATTCAATAAGAAATTAATACTTATTTTCAAATTTATATGCCCAAAAATAGACATTTTCAACCAAAGAAAGTATCCGAGGAATTAGATTGGGTATTTTACTTACATAAATCACATTTCTGTCTCAGAAGAAATAACAAAACCTTAGGCATTAAAGAAATAGAAGATAATTACGATGAAAACGTATGGAGAATTTGTAGAGATGATAATGCGGTAACACAAGTTTCACCTCTAAAACTAAATGTTTTTCCAACACTTCACGATGATTGTTTATACGCATGGGATTGTGAAACCTATAGCGAAAAAGAAACGAATAAAGCCATTCCTTATTCTTGCACGTTAATTAATTTAGAAAATTAAGAAAATGTTAGACAGAATAAAACATAACTTTTCAGATTTAAATCCCACTGATAGTGTTCCCGAAGAGTTTTATTATAAATTAATGAATATAGTAGAAATATTTATGGGTAAAGATTGCATCGATCAAATGTTACAACGTTAAGGAAAATAGATAAAAAAAGAATAACATTAATTTCTCATAACGGTAGCGGTTTTGATATCTGGATCATGCTTAAAAATGCCAAAAAAAACTAACGCAATGTCCACTAGTAACAGCTAGAGGTATTCTGTCTCTACCTTCACCGATAAATATTTACAGAAAAAATGGAAACGACAAAAACAAATAATGGGCAATTCTAATTATTTGCATAATATTAATTTCATATGTTCCTATCAACATGAAAAATCTAGTTTGGCGCCATGGGGAAATTCATCTAATCTACCGATGAATTTGAGAAAGATCACTGATATCAATATTGCAAACTACACCAAAGATAATTGGGAATCTTTAAGACACGAATGGGAACCTTACGCTAAAAGAAATACGTTATGTCATGGAGCTTGTTTGATAAAATATTACAAAGTTATGAAAGAAGTATTCCAGAATATTTCCAATGGTATTATTTGTATCATTACCATAAAGAAATGGTAGAAGAAGAATGGTATGAAACTACTAGAATGGTTCCAAAACACACCGAAAAAGAAAACGTAGAAAAAGTTTACTCACATACACACCCTTTTATAAGACATTTTATCAGACAATCCATTAAAGGAGGAAGAGTTTCTGCTAACAGAAAATCATTTGAAACGAATAAAATGGATGAAATTTTTAATGTATTAAATGAGTTTAGTGAAACACAAAGTGATAATATAATTGATTCATTTAAAGAATATAGTAAAAGTAAAAAGATAAAATTACTTTTACGAACAAAGAAGGTACAAACTGGCACTAAAATCAGGTTCAGAAATGGTTTCTGTCACAAGGTTTTAACATCGGTCGATATTCAAGAAATAGTTAAAGCTGGTGGACGAATTATTAGAATATTAGATGGTATAGTATACGAAGAAAATTTTAAAACTCCACCCTATAGAGATTATATTTTAATTTTGAGAGATCTAAGAAATAAATATAAACAAGAAGGTAATATCGTAGGTAGTAATTGCATGAAATTATTAGGTAATTCTTTGTATGGTAAATCTATTCAGAAGGATATAACTACATCGAGACATTTATGGAGTGAAGCGACTTTAAAAGCCAACTTCGATTCACACGTCAAAAGCTATCCTAAAGTAAATGAGACTCAATATATCGTTCAGATAAATGATGAAGAAAAAGAATTTGACTGTATACCTCCTAAATCTACACGACTAACACCTAGTCATTTGGGGTCATTCGTATTATCTCACAGTAAAAAAATTTTATTCACGTAATAGATGGATTTTATAAGCCAGAAATATACTATACGGATACCGATAGTTTATGCATTTCGTCTAGGAAATTTGATAAATTAAATGAAGCTGGGTTGGTGTCCGAAAATGATTATTGCAAAGGAAAGGATGATTACGGTGATGGTGGAATTATATATGGTTTATATTTAGCGCCAAAAGTCAAATATAATATCATTCTTTCGACGGTATTCTAAAAGAAAAGAAAACGTTTAAGGGTTACTCTAATGATAAGATAGGTGTCGAAGATTACATTCAGTTAGCTAGTGGACATGATGTGACGAATGAATTTAAGAAACCATGGGAAAAAAGTTTCACCAATGGAGTAGTTATTCCAAAGGATGATGATAAACAAATGAAAGTTTTCAGAAGTTACCTGAATCTCGTTAAGAGAAAAGCACCGGACGATGAAGGAATCAAGTATCCTTATGGTGATAAAGATGAATTGAGTTTGGATGAAAACTATGCATTTGATGATTTCAATTACCTAACTATTCAAGAGAATGAAGAGTCTTTAATTACTCAATAAATTTAATTTTTTGTTTTAAATGAAGTTGAATAACAATGTCCTCGTTACCAAAATCTATAAACCTATTTTTACCATCTTTGATTTCCAGATTTATATCTTTAATCATAAAGGAATTAAGTGGTAAATACGTCGTTTGAAATGGTTTCTTTATAATTCTATATCCTATCGGTACAGTGAATGTTGGAAGACTGCAAATAATCTGACGTTTGTATTTATTGGAAAATCCACCGTTCATCAAATTGCAATGTATATTTATCACATCGATATCATTCTCGATATTAGCTTTGTGTGGTGCTAAAGTGGATTGCGTGTATATTTGTTTATCAAATCCTAGTAACACATTCAATGAATTTTCTACGTTGAAATCAACTATTGTTTCTTAATATCAATTTTATTTTGTTCAGATTCAAATTACCTTCGAATTCAATATCATTTGCACTTCCTCCATATTCAGATAGGTATTCGTTGATGGCTACGTATTCGTAGCTTCCTGGTAGTAAACGTATGGTTTTGAATGTAACTCCATTATCTGTTGATATTTTTATTTGGTTATTTTTTTCGTTGATATTTCTAATGGAATTGTAAACAGAGAAATACTTTAATCCAAATTCATATTCTTGATTGCTATCGAGTTCATACTCATAATCTAAAGACAATTTGATGTCTGATTTATTTGAGGTGATAACGAATAGTTGTTCTTTATTTGACATTTTCAATCATGCTTTTATAATCATTTTTATCTATAATACCTTTCTCTAGGAGTCTTTTTAATATACAATTTACTTCATAATATTGTCTGTGTGATCGATGTCCTTCCTTTATTGCCGCTAATATTACTTGTAATCTATTAAGTAGTTCCTCGTTGTCGGACCAAAACGTTATACCTTGTCCAGATACCATATTTTCGAAATCGTCTATTTCTTATGTGATTGGAATGTTGTCTTCAGTATAATCATCTACTTCCTCAACTTCATATTCATCAATAACTCTTATATATATAGATCAAGTGATTTCAATCTTCTTGTTTCGGGTCCCGACTTTCTAATTGCATGTAAAAATTTGGAGTATGCTACTAAATCCTTGTTGTCGGCAATATCAAAATCCCCGCCATTCATTAAATCTATTAAGTCTTTTGTTAATGTAAATATAAATCCTCTTGTATTCATTTTGAATATAGGGGAATTTCCACTAAATTTTATTCTAAATCCATTTAACTATAACCCCTCATCATCAATGATTGGTGAAATGCTCTTTGGTAAAACTGGGTCAGGGTTTGAAAAAAGACGATATATCATCTCATGTCCTAATTATAATACACCATATTCAATCGGTTTGGGGTGATGAGGCGTGTATTCTATACGAGAGGTGTCTAATTTCCTTTTAATATCCTCTTGAGATTTTAATATTGGTTGAAATAAAGTTTGTAGATTTTCTGTTAATCCAAGTTGTTGTAATTTGTTATTTTCAACTTGGGTCTTTATTTTATTCTTAGCTTTGATATATTCTTTATTTCTTTTTAAAATATTATTCCAATTATACATTTTAAAAAAAAATAAAATTAGCATATGCCGATCATAACTCTTTCACCTGCAGGTTTTCTAGTATTTACAAATATATATCCATGATCAAACCTTTTTAAATGTATCTCTATCCATTCCGTGATTTATTGACTGAATGATTTGAGATAAATCTTTGTCATTTAATTCTAATAATAAAAAACAATTTGCATTTTTTCTAATGAACATATAATCCATCCCATAAAAAGATTGGGATTGGTATATGCAGTGACAGTTGTGATGTCTTCCTTTCGTGAAGAATTCTTGTTGAACAGCTTGATTTCTTTGCGCTACACAGTCATCAAACAATATTAAGTTCTTTCGATTGCTATCAATATTAGACAAGTCTAGATCATTAACATTTTTCATAAGAAAAACTTTTGTCTCCCTTGGATTGAAAGATGGATTCTTTGATTTAATGAAGTTATCTATGATATCTTTTATTTCCACTTCTTCATTTTCTTCATAATATTGAAATATGTCTTGAACATCTTTCTTTGGTACACATTCTAAAGCTTAGAGAAATTGATAATACGATTGCTCTGGTGTTGTTGTGTAGATATACAGTGAATCGAAATCTAAAAGGTTTAGTGTTATCAACATGTTAAAAGTGAGATGAGTTTTCCCAGAACCAGAAGTCCCGCATATACACATGAGCATTGGGTTACTAGGAAATATTTCTGAATGTTTGAATTTCTTTCCCATTTTTTATTATTTTATGTTGTTCCAAAAATCACTCCTTCTCCTTTATACTTTGAAAGAAATAATCCTTCTCCAGTGTGTATATTTTTTAAAAAATATTCCATTACCCTTATGTTTGACTTTGATTTCTCCTGTGTCAATACTATCTACTAATTTATTTAATCCTTGTTTAACAGTTTTCTTGGTTTCTTACCAAAATTCTTTTATTGTGCCTATCATATCTCCCACTCCTGGACCTTTTGCTTCCTTTTCCATTATTAAATTATGTCTGCGTTCTTCAGCCGCTAAAGCATCAGCTGCTTTCTTTTCGTTCGCAGCTTTGACTGTGGCAGATATTCCACCAGTTGCTGCACACACGCCGCTGCAATACCACCAAATATTAAAGGTAGTAGGAAAGGTAAAAATCCACCTTCCTTTGCGTTGGTGTCAATTCTTTCTAAGTCTATATCGTCTCTAACTTTACAATATTTGTATTTATCAATAAGTTTTTTTAGTTATGCTGATTTTTTACCATTGAAAGTTATTGCAGTAGGGGAAGCTGTTTCAATAGCTTCTATTATTTTCATAACTAAAGTTTCTGGTTTCATTTTTAAGGGTGTATTTTTTACTCAATTCTTATCATTCTTCTGTCTGCTATTTTAATTAAATGTTTTGCTTCTACAAATAGTAAACAATACCCGGTCACATCTATGAATTTTTTTTCAATATGAATATTTATGTTCACTCATGTTTTGAAAAGATCTTCTTGGTGAGCTGATAGATCAAAACAGAAGATTGGATGATTAAGTGCTAAATCTACATATTCAAACTGAGGTGGATTTCCAAATAAATCACATGTTTTTATAGTTTCTATACAATTCATTATAATCCTTTGTGGTTGGATTAATTGTTAAAGGTTGGTTAGGATAATTACCGTTGTTTAATCTTACTTGAACTTTATGGATTATAGGATCTTGAGTTTGGTTCATTGCTACTCTAAAGATATTATTGTTATTCGTCTGCAAGTCTGGTAAGTTCTTGAAACCAACCATTAAATATCTTGCTGGTTTAATAGTTAATGAGTTGAATATTCTCGTTTCTACTTCAATTGATGGTGTTATTACGGGTATGAAAAGTTGCATCTGAAGCATTTTCTCCAAAGAATATCTTATCATCGTTGATTTCTCTTTGTAGATGAATTTTATATGGTAATCCTATGGAAACCTTTCTGTGTTCCAACAGACCGAATAACGGATATAATTTACGTAATTACCCCACCTATTATTCTCAACAACATTATTATACTGAAGTACTCGTTATAATCCATGATTAGCTGCTCGTGCTACTCTTTCTATTGTGTTTCGAGCAACAACTCTCACTCTAGCTAAATCAGCCTCATTTGCAAGATTTCTTACCGGTTCTTTTAAAACACTTCCATGGCCAACATCAGGTATCCACCCTGAGAATGAATGGAAGTCTTTAGGATATAAAACTGTTTTCAACATTGTATCAGAGTAGGACATAAAACTCTATTCATTTCATTTCAACATTGTATCAAATTCCCCAGGATGTTTAATTGTTTCTATCAGATTTGAACCAGCTTTCAAAACCATTTCGCTAAATAAAGATGGAAAGAAATTGTTTTCTAACCATGTATTAGTTTATGGTACACGATTTTCATTGGGAGTTCCATCTTTTAATTTGAAATCGCATCGGAAAGAAGCAACCAATTCGATAATGAATTCATTTCGAAGGTAATTCTACCGCCATCATTCAACTGGGATTTAGAACCAGCAGTCAGTGAGATAATATAATCCTCTTTTTTCTTATTAAATGAGTAACGAATCAGATCGTATAATTTAAATATTGGATCGAGTGTGTAATTTTTATTTGCCATTTTTAAGGTTTAAAATTTGAGTAGAAATTGTGGTCTGTTTTTCAATTTGAGTTAATTTTAATAATGAAATGTAGGGTGAATAGGTTATTTTTTTGGGTGGGAATTGATGGAATGTAGGCTGAGTATGGAGTAGTAATTGATTGAAGGTGTTTTTTGGTGTAGGAATTTTGCACTTTCCCCATGGAATGAAATGGAATGGGGAATCCCCTTGCGAACATATTGAAAGGTCTAGTACTACTTCCCTGATACACATTAAAAAGCTAAAAAACCTCTTTCCAAGCCCCACCTATTCACCCAATTAGCTAGATTTTGACCGACTAGG